AGAAGGCTTGAGAGGTGCCGAAGGGAGTAGGAGCGGAGCAGGAGCGGGGAGATCTAGCGGGGGAGAAAGAGAAGGCAGGGGCGGAGAAAAAAGAAAGGGCGGGGATGGAAAGGAAAGGAGGGGCAGGGGCGGAGCAAGAAAAGATTGCAGGGTTGGAGGGGAAAGAGGAAGGGAAACAATGGGCTGGGGCAAAGTTAGAAGAGGGAGCAGGGGAAGTGCCAGGGGCGGAATCTGTTCCCATGGGCGGGGTGGATACGGGGGAAGTTTCTAGTGGGCGCACTGGCACTCGGGGGACGGAAGGGGGCATTGAGGCGCAGGAGACTGCTGGGTGGCAGGCGGAGAGGGGAGGCGAGGAGGTGAGGCGGCTGGAAGAGGGGTTGGGGAAGATGGCGCTGGGGGAGGGGAGGGCGCAGCAGGGTTTAGGGGAAGGGGCAGGGGGAAAGGGGATGCGCGGAGTGGAAGAGGGGCTGCAGAGGCTGTCGGTTTCAGACATTGGGGGGATGAGAGGACGTGGTGGGGAGGGGGAGAAGACAGTGGAAGGCGCGCAGGGTGAGAAGGCAGGGAAGGTAATGGAGGAGGGGAAGGGTGGGGAGGGAGGGAAGATAATGGAGAAGGGGAAGGGTGGAGAGGCAGGGGTTTCTGGAACGCCCGAGCGGCAGCAGCATGTGGAAGGGGTGGAACAGGGAATGAGGAGGCTGGCAATGTCTGCTCAAGGCGGAGAGACTGGTGGGGAGGCAGGGAAGGTAATGGAGGAGGGAAAGGGTGGAGAGGGAGGGGCTTCTGGAGCGCCTGAGGGGCAGCCCGAGGTGGAAGCGGTGGAGCAGGGAATGAGGAGGCTGGCAATGTCTGGTCAAGGCGGAGAGAGTGGTGGGAAGGAACGGAAGGAGGGGGGGAATGAGGGAGGTGGGGTGGAAGTGGGGGAGGCAGAAGGTGGGGGAGGGGTTGTGGCGGGTGGAGGGGTTGTGGAGAGGGCACAGGACGTTGCCACGTCAGCTTGGACCAGCACAACTGGAGCGATCACAGATACTGTCAAGGTAACAAATGCCTGTTTTTTGGAATAATGGCCTATTTCCTTGGCCTCTTTGATTTTCTATATTCCTTGTTATTTTTTGTCTTGTCCACTGAATTTGGCCATGCACTCTGACAGAAGCTATGTTTATTTCTGTTTATCTAATAATCTTAGCCTCAAAACCTCAACCGTTCAACTATTCATTTTTTCGCTCGCGTCGTTAAAAAAACTTGAGGTTACGGTGGGGGCTTGCCTCGTGTGTGCTCCCGTCCCCCAACCGGCTCGACCCCACTGGGATCGTCCACAGGTGCTCGGCTCCCTCACTGGTTTCGCCCCCACCAGTACCGAGGTGCCTGCTAACGCTGCACGAAGCTCAGGTATGTGCGCATGTCCAAGATTGCATTTTTGAGGTGCCTTAAAAGTCGTCTCGCTGCACGAGACACAGGTGCAGGAGGGACTGGCGATAGAGGGATCTGCGTGTTCAAGAGGAGTGGAATGTGTCGGACAGGTGCTGCTGGTGTGATCAACGTGGTGGGTGTGCAAGGCCTTCTGTGGCATGGGAGGTGGGAGAGGTTTGATGGATGTGACGCCGGTGGTGTGATTTCATGTGGGGTGTGCTCGCAGGGTGTGATTGGATGTGGGTGTGATCTTGTGTGGGCTGCGCTGTTTGTGGTCTGACATTCATCTGTTACCGTATGCTAAAGATGTGTGTGTAGTCTATTTTTAGGATTATCCTTCATGGCTCGCTTTGATGCCTGTTCTGTATGTGTATTGCAGCCGCAGGTGGTGTACATGAGCGTACAGCCCAATTGCAGGAGGAGTGATTCGGTCAAGGGGAGAGTTGTACATTGGCGTTTGATTACATGCTTTAGTGTGTGTACAGAACCATCTTCATTGTGATGTGATCTGTTTGGTGTAAGCTTCCTTTGAATAATCGTATCACAATCTTGGATATTACCGTATGACTGGTCTAGAGCAATCCAAATCAAAATATGGCATTGGCATGACTACATAAAAAGCCTTCCATCCATACGATCCGAATCAAAAGAAAATTCAGTATGTTTCTACATCTGGTGCTTATTCATAAACAGTGACAACTGGTACGGTAGCAAGCTTGATAACATCCTTTAAAAAACATTGCAGAGCTGTGGACAAACCACCCCAAAAATAAACAAGCCACTAGCCCATACCATGAACTTCATATATCCCAGAATGCAGAGACAAAATCACTTATAATGTTCATGCTGCAAGCAGCTGTTTAGCTCTCCGTGTCTGTAGATCTCAGGGGAATCGGGGATGAAGGTGGCCGCAGATCAGGGAACATGGTGTACGGGCTGAGGGGCCGGTTTGCATATGGCAGGTCGGATTTGCTGCTGCTGCTGCCATTGCCCGAGTCAGAACCGGCAACCTCCCACGGCCACTTAAGCTCAAGGCCCTTGTCCTCACCTGCTGAAGTTTTCACCCACACCCTCTTAGACTCAGCGGGAGCATCAGCAGCAGGAGCTGCCGCTGCTGCAGCCACCTCAGGCTTTGCAGGTGCTGAGACTGGCTCTGCCTTTGGTGGTGCAGGTGCCGCAGGAGCAGGTGGTGGCTCTGACGTTACCTTGGCGGCAACAGGAGTCGGAGGAGATGGAGACGGAGAGGTCGGAGGCTTCAGGTCCTCATACCTGACAAGCAAAAGGGGAAAGTAAATGCAATTTAGGAATGGGCATGCAGAATCCCAGTAACAAGGCAGACATTGGCACAATGACCCAACCCTTACTGTGTGTAGGGAGACAGAGGGGTTGGGCTGGGCGGAAGGTCAGTGGAGGACTTCTTTTCCTCCTCTGCAACCTGCCACGGCCAGCGGAAGTTGATGCCGCCAGCACTGGCCTGTGCCTCAGGAGCAGCCTCCTTCACCTTCCTTTCTGCATCAGCCTTGGCCTTAGCTTCTGCCTCAGCCTTGGCCTTAGCTTCAGCCTCAGCCTTGGCCTTAGCTTCAGCCTCAGCGGCCTTGGCCTTAGCTTCGGCCTCAGCAGCCTTAGCCTTAGCTTCGGCCTCAGCCTTGGCCTTAGCTTCTGCATCAGCCTTGGCCTTAGCTTCTGCATCAGCCTTGGCCTTAGCTTCTGCATCAGCCTTGGCCTTAGCCTCAGCAGCAGCCTTGGACTGAGGATCAGGCTTGGGAGGAGATGGAGAGGGAGACGTCGGGGGCTTCAGATCAGGGTACCTGACAATCAAACACAGAGCAGAAAGAGCATGAGCAAGAATATTGGTTCAAGAAAAAAACATACTCTATCCTCCCATACAGAATCCAATAGCTTACATTGTGTACGGAGAGAGTGGAGTTGGACTAGGAGGCAGATTGGTGGACGAACTCTTCTCCTCAGCAACTTGCCACGGCCAGCGGAATGGCAAACCCCCTCCACTGCTCTTGGCCTTCGCCTCTGCTTCAGCCTTTGCCTTAGCAGCTGCTTCAGCCTTGGCCTTGCCTTCTGCGTCAGCCTTGGCCTTGGCTTCTGCCTCAGCCTTGGCTTTGGCTTCAGCTTCAGCCTTTGCTTTTGCCTCAGCCTCGGCCTCTGCCGCAGCCTTCGCCTTGGCATCGGCTTCTGCCTTCGCTTTAGCCTCAGCCTCTGCCTTGGCCTTGGCAGCAATTGCTTCAGGGCTAGGCTTAGGAGGAGATGGAGAGGGAGAAGTAGGGGGCTTCAGGTCCGGGTACCTGAAACATGACATGGACATTATTGTACGTTATTGTTTGAATTTCAAGTATAATGTGGTCCATCATTGCAGACTCCGCAATATTGAAGCTTCATTTTTGTTCATTTGATACTAACCACTGTTATATTATCACTTCAAATGTATAACTCACATGGTGTAGGGTGAAAGCGGAGTCGGGCTTGGTGGGAGGTCGGTAGATGACTTCGGCTGCTCCACCTGCCACGGCCACCGAAATCCACCTCCACTTGCTGCGACCTTTGCCTTTGCTTCCGCCTCAGCCTTGGCCTTAGCCTCAGCCTTCGCTTTAGCCTCTGCCTCTGCCTTAGCCTTAGCCTCTGCCTCTGCCTTTGCCTTGGCCTCTGCTTCCACCTTCGCCTTGGCCTCTGCCTCCACCTTCGCCTTAGCATCTGCCTCCGCCTTCGCCTTAGCTTCTGCCTCCGCCTTCGCCTTAGCCTCGGCCTCCGCCTTCGCCTTAGCCTCGGCCTCCGCCTTGGCCTTAACCTCGGCCTCCGCCTTCGCCTTAGCCTCGGCCTCAGCCTTCGCCTTAGCCTCGGCCTCAGCCTTCGCCTTAGCCTCGGCCTCAGCCTTCGCCTTGGCCTCGGCATCAGCCTTGGCCTTAGCCTCAGCCTTGGCCTTAGCTTCGGCCTCAGCCTTTGCCTTCGCCGCGGCCTCAACCTTAGCCTTGGCTTCAGCTTCAGCCTTGGCCTTCGCTTTGGCTTCAGCCTCAGCCTTGGCCTTCGCAGCAGCCTGCTCCCTGGCCTTAGCCAGTGCCTCTGCATCCGCCTTAGCCTTGGCTTCTGCCTCTACCTTAGCTCGAGCTTCAGCTTCTGCTCTTGCCTTTGCCAGTTCAGCGGCAGCTGCTGCTGCAGCCTCCTTCTCACGCAATTCACGGATGAGGCGGTCCTTCTCACGCTGGCTCAAGCTGCACAAAAAGTACACAATGGCAAGAAGGCGAACTTCAGCGAATGCCCGTATATCCTGGACCTAGATTTTAACCATTGGGTTCTAAAAACAAACATCAGTCAACAGAAGTACTTACATTCGACCTTCCGCGGCTGCAGCAAGAACGGCCTCCTCCACAACCTTGGCCTCTTTAGCAGCTTGAGAAGCTGCAGCTGCTCGTGATTCGATCTCTTGGCGCTTCTGCTCGAGAGCAGCCTGCTCAGCAGCAACTGACTGGGCCTCAGCGAGAGCCTCTTCTTTTTGCTGACGAGCAAGCTGAAGCTGCTCGGCCAGTTTAGCCCTTGCTTCGGCAGCCTTACGCTCAGCTGCCTCTGTCGCCTCTGCCTGCTTCTGCCTTTCCCGTTCTGAAGCCACCGCCTCCTTCTGTTTCTGCTGCCTTGTGTCTACTACAACAACTTCCTCCTGCAAGCAGATAACAAACAAATGTGAGACAATAAAATAAGCTCAAACAGTCGTATAGTATTGCTACAATAATAACCACAACGAAAAGCTTACAACTTCGTATTCGTCATCATCTTCCACTGCATCATCAGAAGGAATAGCAGCCAAGAGGCTCTCAATAGATTCTTCGGGGGCTGTCGTCTCAGCAACCGCTTCCACAACCTTGTTGGCTGCAAGATTTGGCTTGTTCAACGCAACCGCAACCAGCTCCGCAATCTGCATCAACGTGCCCACGAGTTAACTACGTTGCACATTACTACGAAAGCGTTAATGGTTTGTAAATTTAAATACTTGGCATACCTGCAAGGTGGACACTTGGCCACCCGTTAAAGTGCCACCCTCCTCCAGCTTCAGGTTATGTGTTTCCTTGTAGGAATCAGTCGGCCTCTCCATTCCACCAGGACGAATGATCTGTCAAACAACAGGTGTCAACAAAATCAGCATTACAAGCACAACCTCGCGAGCTTCGTAACATGGCTTAGCTATAGGGACGTACCAAATACGGAACGCCGCTCGCTTTCAACGTCTTCTCAGCCTGCGCCTTCCAGAAGAGGACACCCCAGAACAAGCTGAGGGGAGTACCATAAATTGTGTGAGAAATCAGTCACTTCTCGAAGAAAAGAGGGCGACAGAAGACAATACATACTTCAGTAGTGATGCAGGGAAACCGAACTTCCCAGTGCCGATTGACGAAATCATGATAAATTGGTTCACTCCAAGTTCGGCAGCTGAAAGGACAAAGATTTGCGTCAAGACACGTAAGACACAGCCAGCCCACGACCGATAAATAACGGAAACACAACGACTTACATGCGTTTATGAGATTCTCCGTTGCAACCTTATCCACGCTGTACGGCCCGGAGACATTGAGCAGATTCTCGGATGCACCAATGGCGCACACAACCTTTCCAGCATTGCCAATAGCTTCCTCAACGGACTCCGGGTCAAAAATGTCGAACTCCACAAGCTCCACATCGGCCTCTTTCCCAAAAAACAGCTGAAAAGGAAAAACAGTCCGTTAGAATTGCTCTGCAAGTGGCCAAGGGATGTGCACATAAGATTGCCACTTACATCGAAAAGTCCCTTCTTAGGCGGTGAAGGAAGCTGCAAACACCAAGATCGAGGTACGACCGGAAGGTAAGCACTACGTTAAGCGACGATTGGCAATGCGAACGGCTTAACAAAACTGCAACTTACATCAGTGAGGACCTCGTCTGCCTTGGTAAGGCTACGCACTCCGGCTCGAACCTTGAATCCAGCCTTGATAGCCTCCCTGTATTAGAAAGTGAATATTGTGAGGTTCCAATCTGGTTGCATCAACGCTAATTGCAGCCTAAGTGTGAGTGTAGTGTATACCTGACCACACGAGAGCCAACTCTGCCAGTTGCCCCGGCAATAAACACAACATTGTCGTCACGGGAATTGTTGTTTGTCTTAGCAGCACCGAATAAATTAAAGGGTGAGAATACGAATTTCTGGGTCCCCTTCTCTTCGACCTCCTCGATTTCCTCTGTTACTTTCTGAGTACCCTTGTCTCCTCCCCGGAAACTCCATGGGAGCTTCAACGTTCCCTCCGATGCTGCAGGTTCAGCCGCTGCAGGTTCCTCCTCCTCATCATCCTTTTTCTTCGGAGAGAAGAGGCCTGAAAGCGTACACAAAATGGTTGTGAGTGTTTGAGGACGTAACTACGAGGGCCTCGCGTGCTTGTTGAGACCTACCTCCGAATCTCGCACGGCAGGCAACGACTGGTCGGGCAGATCTCACAGCAAGTGCTCGCTGACCCTTCAGTGAGTCAGCGAGGCTGAGATAGCCACCATAGGTGGATTTTGAAAGCACCTTCTCATTCGCGCCGCTATGCAGAGCATTTAGGGCTACTTGGCCTGTGGCTAAAAGCGTAGCATTGGCTGCTGCTAGGGAACCCATTTTCCCTGAGTGAGCAACTCACTCACTGGAAAGCTCACTGCTCAATGCTGAAACTACGGTTCAGACCAAAAGCCTTCACGGAATTCCCAAGGTGCTGAAGATGACCCTGATCAAGAAGTGCTTCTGAAATTGGAGATGGTCATGTAAAGGAATTGTGATGTGACGAAGAATCTGGACCGCAGCCAGCCGCCACTGGCTTTCGTCGCAGGAGATTACGGAGGGGTGTAGTGGGTCGAATCTGGTGGTGATCGTTCGTTCCTGGCACGGAATGATCCACCTGGATGCCACGTGGACGATCTTCGTGTCGAAGGCCTTGACGATCTCTGTAACGAGTGGAATTGGATGCGAAGGTCTGATCCGCCAGCGATGTCGTGCACACACAAACCAGCCTCAATTAGTCGTCCACCATTCAACAAGGTCGCAGAGACAATGTTCAGCTTCCATTCTGTTACAGACACGCCTAGAACGAGGTGACTACACTTTCACCAAACGCTTAAAACTAAAACGAATGCTCCTCTAGCAAGTGACTAGGCTTCACATCACAATCAAAATCACATCAGACTTTATGTTACATTCGCCTAGGGTCTCGGCTAAGACCTTTTGAACTCAATGCCCGTATGTATGCTTTGGCGAAGGAATACTTATTTATGCCAAGAGAATGAAGCATTTGCCACGTGTATATTCCGCTCATGTGCATATCATCAAACAATATCCTGAGGGAACAAAATGGATCAGGCAGCACAAAAATATGAAACAACCATTCCCATAGCTTACAGAAAGACACAACTGTCATATATGGCACTAACCTGATGGCATAGTTTCCCACAGGTTCCACTTTGATAACGTGGACATACCGACGACCAGATAAAATCTGCCAAACATTGAGGAACTAGTGCATTAGATTTGTCTGTGCAAACGCTTGCTAATGCAGGTAAGGCAAAGAGAAAAAACCCGCAAGGGCGCAGGGGAATTGGAGGGAGACCTGAGGCAGACAATGGGATAAGGGGAGGACAATGTGATAAGGGGAAGGAGCAGGTGAATTTAGTAGAAGATGAAAAAGCAAAGAGGGAAGAGGAGGCAGAGAGTGAAACTTGAGGGAGAGAGTGGGTGAGGGGAGGATGGGAGTTGAGGATGGGCTACAAATGTGCAGCGCTCTGAGAAAGTTATTGGTTGTGTGAAACCTTGGATGCAGAACCAGCATGTCGGGTTCCCCCTTTGGGTGAGGGGCTGTTCACTCGGAGTAGCTCTGCTGGCAGAGAAAACATCTGGCCGTTGGCGTACTCAATCAGCAGAGCCTGATGACACACAGGGTCAACGAATGGAACGTCATGCGCCATGACGTCACGACCAAGGAAATTGCAAAGACTTGAGACATGAGTTAAGAAACGGCCATGCAAGACCATGCGAAGCGACGACGACGCTTGATCCTGGTGCCAAGGATGTCATTCTAAATTGACGTAACGATCGACGTCAACGAGCGCCAGCACCTTGCCTGAGTCTACGCGCTGAATCCGAGTCGGTTGAGGGGCCGCTCCCACGTCATCAGTAAGATCTGCCCTTGTGGATAGCAGTTGCGACAAGGCAAGAACGGTCCCCGGCACATGTCGCCATGGTGGCTTCAGAGCTGTCGCTGTGGCATGGTACACTGATGCGAGCGACCTTGAAAGCGCTAGCATCCGCTATACCGGCTGGTATCTACGTGCGAGGTTGATCGCTTAGACACCCTGTTCGTAATAAAAAAAATCCCGATGGATGTTCTCGCGTTTTGACTGTCGAAGAAAGCTACTCGCGTTAGAGCGACGAATCAGACGCGTAACTTCACGCAGCCGGGGAATGCAGGTATAGGCGCCTTGCATCTCACAGCCAGGCGGCCAAAGGCCACAGCTCGGAGGAGGGCCTATTTCTTGTGCAGGTTTTGATGGCCCGTACGGTACAGACACCTACGCGCTGTGTCAACTTATATGTTGCCCAGAAAACGACATGATCGAGCAATTTGTACAGATCTCGAACTCAGGTCTGTAACGTGCAGATCTGTTACATTCGTTATGGGTACAAAACCTGAAACCCCTTGCCGAGCGCGAACACACGCTAGGTCGTTTCACTCCACCATTAGTACGAATCTATGGAAACACATCCCTCCCTGCCTTAGTGTAGCGGTGCTCTCGGTAACCAAAGCGCGTGGGCACATCGCGAATCAGCTACTGCTCTAGGTCATCACCAGACGTCCCTTTCTTTTACCGCTGTCCTCCTGCTGTCCCTAGGCAGATTCGTCAGAATTTCCAACAATCCAAAGTCCGGTTTCCGACCTTCTTTATTCCTCTCACGCACCTCACATACACACACTTACCTAAGCACCCCACTTCCCCGCTCATGGGATCCCCGAAGCAAGTTTCCGCGCTGCGCCACGGCGGGCACGCGCACTCCGCGCACCACCTTCCCGCCGCAGTGACCAACGCGCGCGCGGCGCTCTTCGCGGCGGGCCTACTAATAGTAACGCTCATCTCCATCCTGGGGTTCAACCTCTCCTCCATGGATCCCCGCGAACCCACCTCCAGAGCCGCATGTGGCGGCAACCACGTAGGGCCAGGTGATGCATCAACTCCTTAGGTGTGGTGCCATACTACTAGCGCGGTCGGCTCTTTGTGGTTAGGTGCACCAACTAATAGTAACGTTCATCTCCATCCTGGGGTTCTCCTCCATGGACCCTCCGCGAACCCACCTCCCCGGCCGCATGTGGCGGCAACCACATAGGGCCAGGTAATGCATCATGGGTGGTAGGACAGGCAATTACACCGTCAGCTCTATTAGGTCACGTTCGTAGCGTGCTTCTCTCGTAACCACGGTCAGCCACAGCCAGGGCTGGAGGGGCCAGGGCCAGGGTCAGGGTCAGGGTCAGGGTCAGGGTCAGGGTCAGGGTCAGGGTCAGGGTCAGGTCAGGGCCAGGGTCAGGGCCAGGGTCAGGGGCCCACCTTGTTTCTGCATTGAATTTGTTCATTCCCTGTCCCTTGGTGTGTGCGTGCATCCATCAGGCACGGAGAGCCCATACCGTGCCATGCGCAGCGAGGTGTATGACAAGATGGAGGCGGAATGTGTTATGAATCGACAAAAAAAAGCTTTAATCTCCAGCCCCTATTTGTATTTGCCCCTTGTTGCGCATGCCTTTTCGTAGGCACGGAGAGCCTATACCACGACAAGCGCAGCGAGGTGTATGATAAAATGGAGGCGGAGTGCATTCTGAGACATCTCACAGTTGTGTTCATTCCCTGCCCCTTGGTGTACCCGCTCCTGGTGTGTGCTTTCGCAGGCACGGAGAGCCCGTACCACGACTTGCGCAGCGAGGTGTATGATAAGATGGAGGCGGAGTGCATTCTGAGACATCTCACAACTGTACTCATGCCCTGGCCCTTGGTCTGTCCGCTCTTTGATGTGTGTGTGCGTGCTATCAGGCACGGAGAGCCCGTACCACGACATGCGCAGCGAGGTGTATGACAAGATGGAGGCAGAGTTCTATGATAAGGGGGCCGAGTTCCTCTTTGGCTCCTCCAGTACCACCTCGCAGTCGCTCAAGGTGCGCCTGGCTGGCCCACTCTCGTGCACACGCTGATTTCGCCTGGTTTTGAGGCCATCTCTGCACTAGTCACTGATCCGAGTTCCTCTTTGGCTTCTCCAGTACAAACAACATCCCAGTCGCTCAAGTTGCCTCCTCCCACTCATGCACTTGTGTACTTGTGCGCGTGAGCACTTGAGCACTTGACCACTTGAGCACTTGTGCACACTCATGTTACACGTTTCTTTCTACACTGAATGCTCGAGGCCGTGTGCACTAGTCATGGCACAAAGTTCCTCTTGGGCTCCTCCAGCAAGGTGACTTTTGAGTCGACTCAAAAGTCATCTTGGGCTCCTCCAGCACCACCTCCCAGTCGCTCAAGGTGCCTCCTCCCATCCACGCATCTGCACACATCCATTCCCACCCACACTCACGCATCCATTTACCATCCGATTGATGTCATTTTTTTTTCTCTTGCATGCTTGAGAGCATCTGCACTATTCACTGCTTGGTCACCTCATGGCATGTCGTTCAATCTTATTCGGAATTCGCCCTCCTCCAACCCTGCCCATTTCGCCCTCCTCCAACCCTGCCCATTTCGCCCTCCTCCAACCCTGCCCATTTCGCCCTCCTCCAACCCTGCCCATTTCGCCCTCCTCCAACCCTGCCCATTTCGCCCTCCTCCAACCCTGCCCATTTCGCCCTCCTCCAACCCTGCCCATTTCGCCCTCCTCCAACCCTGCCCATTTCGCCCTCCTCCCCCTTCCCCCACCGGACCCATGTCATCAGCTGTCGGACATATTTGAACTCCGGAATGGTGAAGTGCATCCCGTGCTCAAGGTGCGTGCAGTGCCACACTGAATGCCCATGGCTTTTACCTTGAGAGCCTGATCTAGAACTCAGGGAGGAGCCAAACCAAAGAGCCAGTCTAGAAAAAGCAGCTACTCTCCGACTCACCCACAGACCCACTCACAGACCCACTCACAGACCCACTCACAGACCCACTCACAGACCCACTCACAGACCCACTCACAGACCCACTCACAGACCCACTCACAGACCCACTCACAGACCCACTCACAGACCCACTCACAGACCCACTCACAGACCCACTCACAGACCCACTCACAGACCCACTCACAGACCCACTCACAGACCCACTCACAGACCCA